GATGTGGCACTGGATGATGTGGTTTGGGGGTTCCGGCAGTGACAGGTTAATGGTTGGACTCGATGCTCTCGGAGGTCTCCTGCTGCCCTGATGGCTCTGTGGCCTCAGTGAGGTGTGTTCCAGCAGTGGGGTCCCATGTCCCATCTGACTGTCCCTTTGTCCCGTGGCAGAGCGATCACCCAGCGGGTGTGGGCCGCGCGCTGCGGCGGAACCAGCGCCGGCGGCAGCACACGTACCACACGCGCTCCACCATCGAGCACAGCCAGCAGGGAGCCAGCCACCAGCCCTGTGCCCGGGAGGAATCCGACAGCTCCTCAGAGGTCTGACACATCCCACCACCCCCGGTAGCTTCCCTACCCCAATCTGCCAGCAGATGTGCTGAGAGCACTCCCACGTAGGCAGGAACGCTCGGGTCGTTGCTCTCTGGGGTTTGTGATGTTTGGGTAGTATGTTGATCGTGGAGAGCAAAGGATCATTTCTCGATCAATGCCCCTACAGTGCTCCAAAGTAACTTAAAACAGCTCAGGTATTTTTGGAAACCTGAAATATCTTCAAGTCAGTCTGAACTGGGTTGTGGTAACCACGCTGCTATTTTGGGCTTTCATCCAGCACATGGTTTCTAGGTCAGCACTCAGAGTTCACTTTGCAGTGCTCTGATTTCAGCGGCATCTGTAGGCTGCTCTGCGAAGAGATGGAGTATTGGTATTAATCATTGATAGTGGCAAGGGAAGGCCTTTAAGTAGCCCAGATGAAATAGAACTTGTGCTCCTTAAGGAAGAGAGATCTACAAATGCTTTGGAAGTGCATTTAAATGTCCAGAATAGCTAAAAAATTTTGGGCACTTGGCAGTAAAATGTATCAGTCGAACACTGAAATAAGATCTTATTCTATTGTTCTGATAGAATTAAAATTCACATCAGTTTCTGTAAGAATTATATAAACACATAGTATAATATCAAGGCATTGTCTACTTATTATATAGGAATTATATAATCAGAGATTGTAATATTAATTAAGATACAGGAAGAAATTGTCTACTTATTTATGTAGGAGTTAGATAGTGTAGTATTAAGATACAGAAAGAAATTGTGGCCTTAAAGCTAAAGCAGCCCTTAAATGCCAAGTTTTCCTCAGGTGACACAACTTGCTTGCAAAAATGCTAGAAAAATACCATGAAAATAGGATTATATTTTACCCTTAACACAAAGCCTTTTGTTTTAAATGCAGGAAGATGAGACTGTTGGCACCAGTGATGCCTCTATGGATGATCCTGTGGCAGCATGGCAAAGTGAAAGCAGTTCCAGGTAGCTTTATTGGGCTCTCAATTGGGAATAGTATGGAATTGTCAGTAAGACAAGATGATGTGATGCTCTCACTGCAGGTTGGTATGGATTGTTGCACCTTCTGAGTGGGATAAGTACACTTGGAGAGCTTAAATTGGTAACCAACAACACTTGTGGAGTCTGGACAGATAAATACTTTATATATTGAGTGACTAAGTCATTGTAGAAGTTTTTAGAGCAGAATTTAACAGAAAAGAGGGTGAAAATGTCTTGATTTTGAAGACAGCCAATGGAATCCTGGGCTGCAGCCACAGGAGTGTGGCAGCAAGTCAAAAGTGGTGATTCTTTCCCTCTGCTCTCGTGAGACCCACCTGGAATCGTGCACACAGCTCTGGTGTCCTCAGCACAAGAAGGACATGGAAGTGTTGGAGCAAGTGCAGAGGAGGTCACCAAGTTGCTCAGAGGGTTGGAGCATCTCCCCTGTGAGAACAGGCTGAGGGAGTTGGGGCTGTTGAGCCTGGAGAAGAGAAGGTTGTGTGGAGACCTCAGAGCACCTTCCAGGAGCTGAAGGGGCTCCAGGGAAGCTGCAGAGGACTCTGTGTTAGGAGCTGCAGGGACAGGACAAGGAGTAAAGAGGATAAATTGAAGGAGGGAAATTGAGGTGAGATGTTAGGCAGAAGTTTTGCCTGTTCTGGTGGTGAGACACTGTCCCAGGTTGCCCAGGGAGGCTGTGGCTGCCTCAACCCTGGCAGTGTTCACAGCCAGGTTGGCTGAGCCTTGAGCAACCTGCTCTGGTGGGAGGTGTCCCTGCCCAGGGCAGGGGTTGGGGCTGGGTGATCTCTAAGTTCCATTCCAGCCCTTAAATTTTATGATTCTATGATGACTTTTTCCCAGTTCTTCATGAAGCATTTTGTATTGTGCATTTTTTTCTGGTCCTTCAGTCAAGAACAGTTTTCAATGCCCATTTGTAAGGAAATGTTGTGTTTAATTAAGAACTGCTTGAAAAACTCACAGCCAGTTTGTCCTGTCAATCCTGTGTGTTATCACTTGACATTAAAGAAGGCAGAACTGGATTTTTAGGGGAGTTGTTTAGTTTTCTCCATTTTTGATGCATTTTTTGCTTTCTGTTCCTCTGAAGTCAATCCATGGATCAGTGAGATAATGAGTATGAAAATTGGCATCAGCCATAGTTGTGGTTTTGCTGCGAGTTTGTAATTGATAACTCACTGAAATCACAGAAGGCACTTGAGTTTTCCTTAAATCCACAAAAATTCAATGTTAACCCTGACATCTGCTCCACAGAACCAGCAGAGCAGGTTGGGTGTTGGGACCTTTCACTCCACTGTGTGAAAACTGAAGTGCTCTGTTCTGCTTCTTTATTCTCTGCAGTGATTCATCCAGTGAATATTCTGACTGGACAGCAGATGCTGGGATCAATCTGCAGCCTCCCAAGAGACAAACCAGGCAGGCAGCTCGGAAAATCTGTAGTAGTTCTGAAGATGAAAACATGAAGGGAACTAAAGGTTTGGAGCCAAAGCGAAGGAAGCTGAAACAGCCTAGGAAAAAGGTGAGCATTGGTCATTTTGGAGTTTGTTTATGAGTATAAGTTGGTGATCTATAAGTAATCCTCAAGGAATTTGCAGAGACACTGCACTGGATGGGAGTGTTGATCTGCCTGAGGGTAGGAAAGCTCTACAGAGAGAGAGACCTGGACAGACCTGATCAGTGGCTGAGGACAAGTGCATGAGGGTCAGTAAGGCTCAGTGCTGGTCCTGCCCTGGGGACACAACAGCCCATGCAGCTCCAGGTTGGGGCAGGAGTGGGGACAGAGGTGGAGTTGCCATCCCTGGAGGTGTTTCAGAGATGTCTGGATGTGGCACTGGAGGATCTGGTTTAGGGTTTAGTGGTTCCAGCAGTGACAGCACTTAGAGGTCTCCTCCAACCCTGTTGATTCTATGTCTTAATTCCTACTATTTCCTGGAGGTTTGGAAGGTTGACACCAGCATTTCCTTTGCTTCGTATCTCTTACCTGCAGTAATTTCTGGATCATCAGTTATATGTGCCATGGTAATTCCAGCCTGTATCCTAAATTTCCTGCAATGTATTTCAGAAACCAAGTGGGCTGCTGTCCATGGAAGGGGAGCCCAGTGAGGAATGGCTTGCTCCTCAGTGGATCCTGGACACCATCCCTCGCCGCTCGCCCTTCGTCCCTCAGATGGGAGATGAGGTACTTCCTGCAGCACCCTGACATTGCCATGGGCTGATGAGCTTAGTTTGGTCAGAATTCCCATATCAAGCAATGTTTTCAGTGAGTTGTGGTCAAATAGGCTGAGGTTTGCTGCCTCTTATTTTCAGTTCGTTGTTTACAGATGCCAAAGGTACCTTAGGAGTAGCAGTAGGAATTGGTTGTGCATCTTCACCTGCACCTTTCTCAATGATCCCAACTTTAAAGCACATATCAGCCTCAAAGTGGCACTTGCTGTAAATATTTTCAAGGAGAAAAGTGATTTAGAATGAAATAAATAAGAGTTCAGTGTGTTCTGGAAGGATTGAGGCCTCCCTGCTCATACAAATGTCAAATGAACAGGAAGAGAACTATCAGTAGAACAATTTTCTCTTTATATTGATTTTAATCTTCTCTTTTTTTCCCCTTTCAAGATCATCTACTTCAGGCAAGGCCATGAAGCTTATGTGAGAGCAGTGAGGAAAGCAAAAATTTACAGTATTAACATGCAAAAGCAACCATGGAACAAAATGGAACTCAGGGTGAGTTAAAGCCTTCAAAGAGCTGAGTGTCTGTGCAGTGTTCAATGGACATGGAAAACCAGCATGAAAAGCAGGAAGAAAGAGTTACTTCAAAACGTTAATATCAAAGTGGAAACTGTAAATAGGAAAATGAATGTTTTCATTAGCACAAAGTCTTTACATCTGTTCAGTTCCTCATTTTGGACTTGATTCTTGGGTCACTTTCAACCCCCAAATAGAGGTTATTTTCTGCCTCTGGTTCATTTTTCCTAACACTAATCCATTCAGCACTCACCACTCCAAAGCTGTTTGTAGTTCTCTCAACACTCTACAAAGACCTGAACGTTTGGGTTCTATTTCTTGGTTTGAGTTCTGTGGTAGGAAGTTAGAAACGATGGTGTAAACACCTCAGTGTGTGTGCAAGCTCTAGTAAACCCTGGGCCTAGCTAAGCATAGAGCTGTGTGTATTCTTTGAAGTTCTGGGAAGGGCAGGGCCACATCTTACAGCATATTTGTACAAAATCAAAGCATTTCTTGGGTAGGCACCAGGTTTGCATAGTTATGTTGATTTTTCTTTACCCTTTTGCTTTGATCCACTGAGTCTTTAATACACAGTGTTGCCATATTTTTCTTGCTTTACTCCAATTTCCTATCAAGAGAAAAGCACATCCTTGTGCTAATATTCACTTCTGTATATGCCTGTGGTTCATGGATGACACTGATTGCTTTGCTGGAACAATACCCAGTTATTAGTCCTAAGTATTCAGTGATTCCAGCTGTAATTTTCCAAGGCATCATCAGCTGGTAAGGCAAAGGAAATAGCATTCCACTTAGGATGGAGTTTGACAGGACATGAACATAAAGGCTATTGTGGAATTTCTGTTCTAAGAGGAGGAATTTCCTCTTTTCCCCCCTGTGGAAGGCTGAGGGGCCCTGGGTGTGAGGTCAAGAATAACCTTAGTGTGGTTATAACTGTGGGTTTGTTCCTTATAAAGTAATTTGTGGGGATCCTGTTCATAAATCTACCAGGGGAATGAGCATCTTACACCATCTCTGTTTTTCTTTCGGAGGTGAATTTTAGCATATGGAAAAGGAAAATTCATGGGTGAGATTCTGTGCTATAGAGCAGAAATATTTGGGGTTTATTACATGTTTCATACTTGGCCATGGATGGTTTTGTGGTTAGCAAGTTAAAATAATGGTGTTCCTTGCTGATTGCTCACCAGGAACAAGAATTTGTGAAGACTGTAGGAATTAAATATGAAGTTGGGCCTCCTACACTCTGCTGCTTGAAGCTTGCATTCCTGGATCCCATCACAGGCAAAATGACAGGAGAATCCTTTTCCATAAAGTAAGGCACTGGGATGCTCATGACACTCCTCAGGAGATTTTCTTGCAGCTTCTAAGCTTGCTTCCTTCCTCCTCTTCCTCCTCCTCCTCGTTCCCTTTTGCTCCTCCAAGGCCTGATGATGGCACCAATTATTATGTCAAATGCCTGAAATTTGGGGACTGTTTGTGCATGTAAAACTCCATTTCTGGGTAGCAACAACTTGTTTGGTCTTATTTCCTGAAGGTACCATGACATGCCAGATGTTATTGACTTCCTTGTGCTGCATCAGTTTTATAATGAAGCCAAAGAAAGGAACTGGCAAATAGGTGACTAATTTTTTTTCCTCTTTCGTATGTTTTGCAGCTGTTTAATAGGATACAGAGTCTTCATTACATGATGTAAGGGATTATTCCACATATGATACAGTAGAAGTCATTGGAATATATATGGATCATATGTGTATATATATTCCAGTGACCTCTATTATATGATGTGTGGAATATATATATATGTATAATTATAGAGGTCATTGGAAACTTCTGTTTGATGTTTGCTGCAATTGCTGCAGCAGGAAAAAAAAGAGGAATGAGACAAACGGTTCCAAAACCTGTGACAGGAGGAGAATCTCCAGACCCATTGTGATTTGAAGCATGGAGGCAGCTGTGGGTAATTCCTGGGGTTATGTACATCTTCTCTTTAGGGAAAGGACTCAGTTCCTGTGGTGGAAAACATAAGAATTGAAGTAGTGCATTTATGGAAGATGAAGTTGATTCTTCATCTGGGACCTGGGAGTTTGGAGAGACAGGATCAGAACAGCATGGTCAGCAGGACCAGGGAGGTGATTCTGTTCCTGTGCTCTGCACTGGTGAGGCCACACCTTGAATCCTGTACTCAGTTCTGGGCCCTCAGTTCAGGAGGGACACTGAGGTGCTGGAGCAGGTCCAGAGAAGAGCAACGAGGCTGGTGAAGGGACTGGAGCACCAGTGCCATGAGGAGAGGCTGAGGGAGCTGGGGGTGTTCAGCCTGGAGAAGAGGAGGCTCAGGGGAGACCTTCTCACCCTCTGCAACTCCCTGACAGGAGGTTGGAGTCAGGTGGGGGTTGGTCTCTTCTCCCAGGCAACCAGCAGCAGGACAAGAGGGCACAGACTCAAGCTCTGCCAGGAGAGGGTTAGGTTGGATATTAGGAAGAGATTTTTTAGGGAGAGAGTGCTCAGACATTGGAATGTGCTGCCCAGGGAGGTGGTGGATTCACCATCCCTGGAGGTTTTCAAGCTGAGACTGGATGTGGCACTTAGTGCCATGGTCTAGTAACCACGGTAGGGTTGGACTTGATGATCTTGGAGGTCTCTTCCAGCCTGGTTGATTCCATGATTCTGTGTTTGTACAAAGAAGTATTTAGCCACTGTTGATGTTGCTGCTTTGCTGAACTCAGTCTTTGTCCTTGCAGGGGATAGATTTCGCAGTATAATAGATGATGCTTGGTGGTTTGGAACTGTGGAGAGCCAACAACCTTTCCAGGCAGAATATCCTGATAGTTCCTTCCAGTGCTACTCTGTTCAGTGAGTACTTACATGCTCTAGTTCTCTTACACATCTACATACAACTTCAGTGTCCTACTCAAGCACTAGGAGCCCTTTGTCCATTTAAATGCATAACCAACCTCTTTATTTACTTGTTTAATATAGAACATAGTCCTAAAACAACATTTTGGTGTAAGCAGCAGTGTATATATAGGAGATACAAAGGCAAAATAGGGAGTTGGAATGTAGCTAGTGGCAGATCTTGTTCTGAAGAGACACGACCTTAAATCTGGTGAAGAAAAGGTGTATTGTTATGTTTAGCTCTAACTTGTCCTTTTGAATGTGTTTTTTAACAGCTGGGACAATAATGAAAGGGAGAGGATGAGTCCGTGGGACATGGAACCAATCCCAGAAGGAAGTAAGTGTGTTGAATCCATGTCCCTGTGGGGAGACCAAACAGCTTTTTGCCTCTGCTGGGACTCACTGCTGTCGCATTGTTCCTCCTTAGCTGCGTACCCCGAGGAGGTCGGGGCTGGAGTCCCTGTGACTCCAGAGGAGCTGACAGCTCTTCTCTACAAACCCCAGGAAGGAGAATGGGGAGCCCATTCCAGAGATGAAGAATGTGAGCGAGTTATCCAAGGAATTGAGCAACTTCTTTCCCTTGGTATGTTTGTTGAGAGAAGGTGGAAGGACGAAGGGTATCACTGACTGAGAGGAGTGGTGGGAGTTGGTGAGGAGGATTTGAAATGTACTCAACTCAGTCATTGAAAAAAGCCTTTTAAATTTCTTTTTTAAGCTATCTTTCTTTTGTTGTTTTTTCTTCTGGACCTTCACCTGGTTCCTTTCAATGGGAGTTCTCAGTGGGTCATAGCAATGAGCAAAACATTGAAGTAAACTCCTCAAAAACCAACCAAGAAATCCTCACTAAACATCCTCACCCACAGATCACCTTGTGACTGGTTTGTAGCCATTTAATAGCACACTGTGATTTAAATTCTGCCTCTATTTACACCCAGGACATGTCTGTATTCTGACTTTAATATCACTTGTAGTATTCCTGTTGGAAGCACGTGTGCCATGTTGCTTTCAGCAATGCACTTGGCCTCTGGCACACAAATCTCAGGGGTGATACTTCAACTGAAAGTGCTGTTCAAGAGTAGTACCAGATGCTGCAAGAGGGAAGAATCCTGCCCTGTGCGTAATGACATTTCCAGCTGTAGATCTGTGCTGCTTTTGCTGAGTTCTTAGAAAGAAAACCCAGAAACCAGTACAAGGCATTCTGACATATCAACATCCCTTCTGGTGTCTTGTGAGGCAGCTAAATCCTGTTGGTCTTTTGTCTTGCAGACATTTCTAATCCCTTTGCTGTTCCAGTGGACCTTAGTGCCTATCCCATGTATTGCACTGTCGTTGCTTATCCAACTGACCTCACCACCATCAGGAGGAGACTTGAGAACAGGTTTTATAGGTCAGTTGGCTTTGGATTTGTTTCTCATCTACATTTACTGCAGCCCCATGGAGGCCAGTCCGTGTAATGTCCCTTCAGCAGTGTGAGCCAGCAGCAGAAGTTCAGATTCTCTTTGGCCTTGGGCAGAAGTCTTCCCGAGTCATAAATTCTTCCAGCCGTGTGGTTAAGGATATATTCAGCTGGAATATCTGGATGTGGAGTGTTTGTTTAACATCCTGAACTTTACTCTGTGTTATAGGCAGAGCTTATTTGCTTTGTTGCCATCCCTTCTGCCTTTGAAGCAGAGGCTTTCCTTGTGTTGCCAGAAGTGGCTAAATAGTTGCTGTCAACTGGGAATCTCAGGGAGTAAATAACATCCTGCTCTTTGTTTTCCCCTGTGAGAACCACCTGTTTTCCCTCCATCTGAATGACCTGCGCCATCCTTTCACTGAAGAATCCTACTGCACTTAGCAGGAAAATAGCACACATCTCCCTCTCCATCCCTTTCCTTTTATGGGATGTTTTATTTGCTGTGTTTTGCAGGAGAATCTCTGCCCTGATGTGGGAGGTTCGATACATTGAGCACAATGCCAGGACCTTCAACGAGCCAGACAGTCCCATAGTCAAAGCAGCCAAGATTGTCACCGATGTCTTACTGCGCTTCATTGGGTAGGTTTGGCCTTCACAGCCCCAACAGCTCCAGTTTCTGAGGTGTCTGATTGTCCTTTTGACTTTTGTCATTGTCCTGCAGAGATCAGAGCTGTACTGACATACTAGAAATCTATAACAAGGTGAAAGCAGAAGACCTGAGCAGTACTGATGAGGAGGAGGAGGTAAGAGCATTTTCTTGCCTTTGGAAGTTCAGCACATGTGAGAAATATGTTGAGGCTTTATTTTATGGGTGGTTGCAGTGAGTTTTTCAGAGCCTGTTGAGGTTCACCTTTGACAATAAGCTCCTTAAGTAGGTAAAACTGGTTCTTAGAAGTGCCTGTCTTTAATCTGCTCTCAGTACATGGTGCTTTGGTGGTGAGGAAGCACCAATAATTAGGGGAGATGGAGCTGGTAGTCAGGAGGACAGCAGCTCTGCCATTCTCAGGGAGGCAGCAGGGCTGGTTTGCTTATGTAATCCTCTGTCATTTCCTCTCAGTTGTTCCCTGGAGTGAAATCACAGGTAAAAACCAGGTTAGAGATCACTTCCTTGAGCTGCTTCTCTCTCCTTAGACCTTCTCCCTTTAGTGCAGTTCGGAATCACTTTGAAATGTGCTGCAGTTTCTGTCACAAAGAAGTGACCTGTTAGAACTTAAATCACTTGGGTTTTGCTTTCTCAGTGTTACTTTCTGCAGCATGAGGTAGTATAAGGTTTAATGAGGAGGTTTCTTCCCCAGGACATTCTCCATTGGGGCAGTTTGGGGATGTTTAAGTTACACCTGGTGCTTCTTGAGCACCTTTGTGCTGAGGGTTAGTGCTGCTCTCTTGGATTTGTATTGAAACTTGGTGTGTGCAGTGAAATAATTAATTCCTTTTAGAAATCTGAAGGTGTAATAACAGCATCTCCTTTCACAGCCTATTAAAAGATTATTTTGAAGGAAATTAGGGACTTCCCTTGGTTAAATAGCAGTGATTCCATGATTCAATGAAAACCAGAAGGAAAGACTCTCAGAGTCTTTGCAGGAAGTTTCTTGTCTTCTCAAAATCATTAATTTTCAGTTACTGGTAGAAATCTGTGTACAAAATAATTTTTGTTGTCACTTCCATGTTCAGGCTCTGAAAGGAATATTAGACACTGGGAAGGCCCTGCCTGAAACCTGACCAGGCTCAGCACAGCTGCTCAGAGCATGAGCACTGAGGGAGTAGAGATCTGCAAGGCTGAGCCTTAAGGACTGGAAATCAGCCATTCCTGTTTCTCACATGTTTATATATCATTTTTATGGAAGAAAACTTGGAAAAGAGATGAAACAGCTTAGACTGAGTTATGTAAATTCTAGTTTGAAGCAAGTTTCTACTCTGCTTGAGGCACTTACTGCATTTAAATAGTTCAAAATGGTGTTTGGTGTGGGTTTTAACCCTTTCTCCATGGCTGAGGGTGCATCCAGGCCTGCCTGTGTGTGATCATTCCATTTGCCTTTAGGTGGCAGAAGTAGATGTGGATTCAGACGCTCCTGGAACTTCCTCTGGGAAAAGACGAGTGAGTACAATTCCTGCTTTGGCCTTTTGTTTTAAATTTGATTTGAGAAATATCTACAGAAGTCAAATTTAGACTGGCTGGAGCAAGGCTGGAGCTGAAATATTTCATGTCTGTCATAGGTTTGAGTGCTAGATATGAGCAGAACAGCCAGATTTCTCAAGTATGCATAGTGCATGTTGTGTCATCAGCTATGTTTGAATCGTCCTGGATTTATTCTTTTAATTGAGGGTCAGTAAGGCTCAGTGCTGGTCCTGCCCTTGGCACACAACAGCCCATGCAGCTCCAGGCTGGGGGAGAAGTGGGGACAGAGGTGTTGGTCCCAAAGGACCTGGCAGTGCTGGTGGCACAGCTCAGTGGGAGCCAACAGTGTGCACAGGTGGCCAAGGAGGCCAAGGGCATCTTGGCCTGGCTCCAGCAGAGTTCAGGGTTTAGTGGTTCCAGCAGTGACAGGTTAATGGTTGGACTCGATGCTCTTAGAGGTCTCCTCCAACCAGGATGATTCTATGAAATCTGCTTTGAATCAGACCTCTGGGAAATAAGTAGGGACCTAAATTGCACAATGTGAACCCTCTGACCAATGTTTGTGTTTCCCTGCAGGTCAGACGCCGAGTGAAGAGACAGCCCATGAAGGCAAGCCCTGATGCTTGGAAGGAGCAGTGCAAGCAGCTGTTGAACCTCATTTATGAACGAGAGGACTCAGAGCCTTTCAGACAGCCTGTGGATCTCTTCTCCTATCCTGTAAGTTCTGCTTCCACACCCAGAATTCTTCATCTTTTGGCAAAACGTCCATGCTGGCCATGGCTCAATCCTCTCCCCTTATGAGCTGATGTTTTCAGAGAGTTCCTTGCAATGACTCTCACATAGAAATAATGATTCAAGCCATTGGATGGACCCTGAAGTGCTTTCAGTGCTGTAGGATTTGACAGCCTTTGTCATCTTCTGTGCTCTGGCAGGATTATAGAGACATTGTAGACACTCCTATGGACTTCAGCACTGTGAAAGAAACCTTGGAAGCAGGAAACTACACCAGTCCCTTGGAATTCTACAAGGATATTCGCTTAATCTTCTGCAATTCTAAAGCTTACACTCCTAACAAAAAGTCTCGAGTAAGTAGTACATTTTCATGCCTTTTTATTTGGCCTCTCATGAAATAAAACACATGAAATAAGGTCTGAAGCGCAAAGCACTGCTTGGTGTCATAAAAATGAGCAATATACCTCGGTTCTGGGACCTGTAGGTGTGAATTGGCTTTGTTCTGCTTTTTTGTGCTTGACTTAGTGTTTTTGGCAAGGCTTTTGCACACTGTTGCCTTTATTTCTCAGGTGCTAACGTTGCTTTTTCCTGCATGCTCTCAGAGGCAGAAAAAGTGTATTGTATTGGAGCCCTAAGGATATGGCAGGAGGGAGAAAGGACATAAAAATGTTGAGTGTAGATTTTTTTGTATGAACTAGGTAAAATGAGTACTAATGGGATTAGCATGTACACATGGCTGTGTTTGAGCTGTGCTCCTGTCTCAGCTTTTCCCAATATCCTATCTCTGGCAGTGTGAAGCCATTCCCTGTGTCCTGTCCCTCCATCCCTTATCCCAAGTCCCTCTCAGTTCTCAGAGCCCCTTTAGGCACTGGAAGGGGCTCTGAGGTCTCCCTGGAGCTCAGTGTTTTGCTTGAATCCCTTGGAGCTGCATCCCATAGGGATTGTATGCTGAGACACAGAGCCCCAGCCTGGAGCCATCCCAGCCAGCAGCATCCTCAGCTCCACAGGATCCCAGACTGGTCTGGGTTGGAAGGACCTTAAGGATCATCCCATCCCACCCTCTGCCCTGGGCAGGGACACCTCCCACCAGCCCAGGGTGCTCCAAGCCCCATCCAACCTGGCCTGGAACACTCCCAGGGATGGAGCAGCCACAGCTGCTCTGGACAACCTGTGCCAGTGCCTCGGCACCTCACAGGGAAGAGCAAAATATTGGTGAGTTATTAGCACTGCACATTGCCAGGGAAGATCCCTGTGTGTCCAGAGCTGAACAGCCTGTGAGTCAGCTCCCAGATTCCCTTAATAGAGTGGCCCATCAATATCCATTTGCTTAAATACAGGGAAGTGCCTTGGTGAGGTGATCCTTGCTGGAGGGCTGAGCACACAGCTGGGCCACAGCCTCCCTGGGCAATCTGTGCCAGTGTCTCACCACCCTCACAGGGAAAACCTCTGCCTAACATCTAACCTCAATTTCCTTCCTTCAATTTGTGCCCATTGCCCCTTGTCCTGTCCCTGCAGCTCCTAACACAGAGTCCTCTGCAGCTTCCCTGGAGCCCCTTCAGCTCCTGGAAGGTGCTCTGAGGTCTTCACACAACCTTCTCTTCTTCAGGCTGAACAGCCCTAACTCCCTCAGCCTGTCCTCACAGGGGAGATGCTCTAGTCCTCTTATCATCTTTTCTTATTATCTCCATGACTTTTTTTGTGCTGCAAACTTTAGGTATCTTTGTGATTGGTTTTTTCGGCTGATCTTCTAGTTATTCAGCATCTAACAAGCCTGACCATGTTTTCTCCCTCCAGATTTACAGCATGACGCTTCGACTCTCTGCCTTATTTGAAAACCACATGAAGAATATCATCTCTGAGTACAAGTCAGCAATGCAATGCCAGAGGAGGAGAAGGTCACGGTACCGAAAACGGCTGAGGAGCAGCAGCAGTTCCCCCTCAACTAGCAGAGCATCCAGGTAACAGGGACAGTGAGAGTCCAAGTGGCATTTCATAGAATCATCAGGGTTGGAG